TTAAATTTTTATTTATTTGTTTGACAGAGAATGCACAAGCAGGCAGAGTAGTAGGTAGAGGGAAAGGGAGAAGCAGGCTCCCCACTTAGCAAGGAGCCTAACGTGGGACTCGATCCCAGGACCCTAGGATCACGACTGAAGCCAAGGGCAGTTGACCAACCAACTGAGCCACCCAGGCACCCCTGATTATTACTGTTTTAAGAGCCCAGTTTTATGTAATTTGTTATGTAGCAATAGATAACTAATATACTTTTTAAAAACATATTTTAAAGATTTTATTTATTTATTTGACAGACAGAGATCACAAGCAGGCAGAGAGGAGGAAGCAGGCTCCTTGCTGAGCAGTGAGCCCGATGTGGCGCTTGATCCCAGGACCCTGGGATCATGACCTGAGCCAAAGGCAGAGTTTTTAACCCACTGAGCCACCCAGGTGCCCCGGTAACTAATATACTGATTGTAAATAATTATTAGGTTATATGAAGTATTCTTCTACCTAAGGAATGGCCAACTCATGAAATTTCCCTTTCAAGATAATGTTAAGACTCATCTATGCTCATGAATCACTGTATTGTACACTGGAAACTAATATAACACTGTGTTAACTATACTGGAGTTAAAAAAATATACAATTTAAAAAACGGTAAAAACAGGACTCAACTAGGCTCATAAAGATATTAGCAACTATCGTTATGTTCAGTTAACTTGCCCCTGGTCTATATATCACTCAAGCTTGACAAAACACTAATTCTGGGCTAATTTTGGCTACCATTTACTCCTGGGCTGCTAAATTCTAAATGGAGAAAAACACCTGTGCCATTTGCTACTATAAATTCTTGCTTTCCAACCACAGCTTGATCCCCAGTGCTACCAGGACATTCTTTTGTATCCTTAGTCAGCTCTCATGGCACTCTTCATTTAGGTTATTTTGGATTCCCCTTCTCCGCTCTTAAGATACTTAGATACCACCACAGTCTCTCTCTCAGCCTACCACCTTCCTGACAGAGAAAATAGCTTATCTATCTTCACTCTTTCCTCCTATTACAATGGAGGCGTATTCCTCTTACTGTATTCCTCTTACTGTATTCCTTTTACTGTTTCAGGTTTATCCCTTGCCAGATCCCCTTCTCTACTTTCTTCTCAGAATTTTTCCTCTCTCCTAGATCTTCAACCTCTTGCCACAGGATCCTTCTCATTAGTTGAATACAATGAATTTATTTAAATCTAGTATTTATTTACATGAGCCATTACAGAGGTATTAACAGTGTGCTAGCATTTGAAATGAGTTACTGATTGTATACCAGAGTGTATAAACTCTTGAATTCAGATTGGTATTCTGTCTTAGCTCTGTCAGAAACTCCCTCTGTGACCCCAAACCATTTTTTTTTCTGTGCTTTAGTTTCCTCTTAAGTCAAATCGGAATGGTATCTTTGGGAGAAAACCATCCGAGTGAAAACATAAATGCCAAGGGCTTAGTACTCAGGTTAGAAATGCAGAGGGCTCCTGTGACGGTTCATACTTGTGAGTACACTAGGGAGCACCTCATATATATCAAACTAAAGCATGATTTCAATTAGAAATGAAATTTAGGATATATATCCTGAATATATAAAGTTGGGCAAGAGAGCTTGTGGGTTTTTGTTACGGTTTTCTTAACTACTATACATTACTCTGATCTGCCCTGTGAGGACGAACTGTCCTTGGGAAGATACTGAATTACTGAAGGACCTCAGTTTAATCAGTTTGTTATAACTGCACAGAATATTCAGTATTGAATAATAATGAATACAGTGGGTTAACTGAAGTCCATCAAAATAGAACATTAAAATCATAAAGAAGAGAAAGAAACTTGGCAGAATAAGTATATGAATATATGCCCAACATACTGATTTATTAAATTAATTCACATAGTATCTTCAGATTAAAAGTTACTAAATTACAAAATAAAATGATCCAGTCATCGATTCTAAAAAAAATTACTCAAGCTTAATGACTTATAATAACAATAATTTTTTGATCTCTGTATCTGTGGGTCTGAACATTTCTGGCTGTCATCTCTCAGGCAGTAGTAGTCCAGTGATAGCCAAAGGTGGAACCAAGTGGGCCTGGGATCAGTGAGTGGTGGTGGGCATTTCTCTTCATAGTGTCTAGGCTTCTCTCAGCAAGCTGGTTTGAACTTCCGCAAAACATGGCAGCTTTAGACAGTCCAACCACCTACTTTGTGGCTCAGAGCTTCAGTGCAAATCTTCCAGCAAAGAAGTGTAAAGCTGTATAGCCTCAGAAGTTATACAGAATGGCTTCATGCACTATTACATCCTCTTGGTTCCTTGTAAATCACAGGCCCACCCAGATTCAAGGGAAGGGGAATTTGATTCTATCTATTGATGCGGCAGGGGCAAAATTACTTTGTAGAACAGCATGTGGGAGGAAGGATATTATTGTGGCAGTCTTTGGAAAATATACTCTGCTGCAGTGATCTAAGGGAATGGAAATATTTTTTTTTTTTTTTCATGAGAGAGAAACAGACACAGACACCATTAAAGAGAAGCTCTCATGACTCATCAGATTCAAAACAAATTAGGCAAATCCATCAAGGGGATAAACTAAAAACACCTGGCATGCGGGTGTGTAGTTATGCATAACAATTCCAATTATTATCAAATTATTATCATTCATACGAATGAACAATCCTGGGCCAAATGGTGGTACACAGAGTTCATTTCAGCCAAAGATGATGATATCAACGTTTTTCCCCTCAGAAACAAAAATAAAGTTTCAAGACAAACCGGAAGGCAATTTTCTTGTTGAAAATAAGTCCAGGGGCACCTGGGTGGCTCAGTGGGTTAAAGCCTCTGCCTTCAGCTCAGGTCATGATCCCAGGGTCCTGGGATTGAGCCCCACATCTAGCTCTCAGCTCAGCAGGGAGCCTGCTTCCTCCTCTCTCTCTGCCTGCTTGTGATCTCTGTCTGCCAAATAAATAAATAAAATCTTAAAAAAAAAAAGAAAGAAAGAAAGAAAGAAAATAAGTCCAGGTGCCATCTGGTGGTGAGACAGTCAAATGTGAATTCTGTCTTGTTGACAGCATTTTCCGAGTTGTCATTTTAGAGTGTATACACAGTATTTAAGGAAAGACAACAATTCCACCATCTGCAAGGGTATTGTCCAAACAAACAGGCAAAGCAGAAACACAGGGAAGGAGAGGACATAATAAAAAAGAAGTAGTAACAGAGCATCCACTCCAGAGTGTCCAGACAAATCAAATCACTCTCCTTTTTATAAATCCTAAACCCCTTAATCCTCTGTCCTATTGGCTTTTATGCACCTTCAAATTAGGTATGAAGGGTATGAGAGAGAATAAGTTAGAGCAGACAAGGTTTGGGGTGCCTGGCTGGCTCACTTGGTAGAGCATGAAGCTCAATTTCAGGGTGATGAGTTCAAGCTCCATAGACTTTACTTAAAAAAAAAAAAAGGAAAAAGAAAAAAGGAAAGAAAGAAAAAAAATAAAGGAAAGGTTTGTTATTACTGGGTAGGGGGCAAGGGAGGTAGTTCAGCCAAATGATGACTGTAGTGATCGGCCCTAGAAATGTAGGCTGTTTCCTCCATGTTGTTCCTTGTCTCCTGGATCCACAAGCATCTGAGAATTTACCAGAGCAAAACCCTGGCGGTTTATTTAGAATAGAAGAATAATCAGTGAGGTCAGATTGATGATACATCTTCCTGGTTTAACTCTCTTTGATGGGCACCAGGGGACTGTGGTTACTGCGCTAGAATTGTAGATCCAAATAATGGGTTAACGCTCTGATGTGCTTACTGGGCATTATGCACTGTGCTCATCGCTTTACATCTCATTTAAACTCACATAAATTCATCTCGTTATATAGATGAAGAAACTGAATTTAAGAAAAGTTACATAATTTGCTGACTGATCATATATCCCTATAAATGTTGGAGTTGGGATTCACCATATGGCCAAAAAACCCCTCGATTCCTCTTCACGTTGCTTTAACTACCAGCGATTTGATGTAAAGGCCTTTGAAATCTATTTGTGTTATCAACCTCTTCAAATAAGTTTGACAGCAGCACTCTGCACTGATGTAGCCCCTGCCCACACTGCTCGAAAGTGGCTTTATTGATTTTAGGTGGCCCTTCCCTTAACTGCTAACCGGTTGAGTAATTCTTTTCATCTCTGAGCATTGTCTCTTAGGTCCCTCCGCGCCACCCGCCCCCCCCCTCGCCCCGCCCCTACCCCCGCCGCGCTCTGGACTGCAGCAGAGCCCTGCTCTGGGACACACCACCCCTCCCCATCCCGGCCTTTCTACACTCTAGGTCCTTTCCAAGCTGCTTTTGCTGGGGGAGGCCTAGCTAGCAGATTGCCCTGCAAGTCCACCAACCACCAAACCAAAACTGCCCGCCCTAAGTTCACAGGAGGTAGGGTCAGGGTGACCAGACGCAACAAATATAATTACAGGACATATTTACATTGGAATATCCGTATGTTTCTTGGGAGTTAAAAAAGAAAACAAACAAACAAACAAAAAAACCACACAAAAAAAACAGTCAAAATCTTAAAACAAACAAACAAACAAACTATTCGTGGTTTCTGTGAAATGCAAATTTAACCGGGCATCCTGTATTTCATCTGGCAACTGTAGGTAAGGGAACAGGGGTAAGGCTGGAGATTCCGGACGCTCGAAGGAGGAGGCTTCCCGGCCTTTTGGGGCCCGGAGTGAAGCGTCACACGGGCGCAGTGTGTGCTGCCAGCAGCGAGACCGGCTCGCGCGCGAAGATAGACGGCCGCTAGCCTGGGCTGGAACCACGTCCAGGGCTTGGGGCTCAGGAACGTTCGATGCGACCCGAGGTGTCCGGCTCTCGGCTTCTGAACAACAGCGAATCCTAAACACCGGAGACCACAGGCAGAGGGAGACCGCCCGACTCCAAGATGGCGCCAGCGGGCGCTGCCAGCTGCCAAGATGGCCGCACGGGATTGCGCTCGCGCTCGCGGCGCCCCTCCCCCCAGGCGCCCGGGAGGCCGGGAGCGCGACGCGCGTCGTCGTGCGCCGGTTACCCTGCGTCCGGGCCGGTGGTCCCGGCAGCTTCTAGCCCCGCGCCATGCGGCTCCTCGGGTGGTGGCAGGTCCTGCTGTGGGTGCTGGGACCTCCCGCCCGCGGCCTGGAGGGTGAGTGCGAGCCGGGGCCGCGGCCGGGGGCGGCAGGCGGCGGCGAGTGAAATGACGGGGCGCGGGGGAGGTCCGCTAGGACGACGCTCTTTGACCTGCGCGGGGTCTCGCGGCGCGCCCCTCGGCCCTTCCTGGAGCGGGCCGGCGCGCCCAGCCCAGCGTCGTTCCTCTTCCCAACGGTGTGGCCCTGAGTGGTGGTCCGCGGTGGCGGGGAGCCCGTGCAGGCCCCTGCAGCGGGCGTCAGTCACAGGAGTGGCGGTGTACTAGCTCCTACTGAGACATACCTTTCATTATGAATAAGAGAAACCGTAACGAAGAGCCGGCATTTACGGCGCCCCTTCGAGGAGGCCGGACTGTGCCTTCCCGCAGTTAGCCCTCGCACCCGCCGTAGGAGAGAGGCTGCAAGAGGCTCTCCACGTTACAGGTGGAGGCGCGGAGCTCAGGGTCGCATCTGCCCTTCGGGTCGTGGCAGAGCCCGTCTTTCTGCCTACAGAGCCCACGCTTTACTTGGCATCTTGATGGATCCCTTCTTAAAGAAGGCTGCTCTTGCTCAGGTGGCCTGGATGAGAAAAATAGAGGAGACTCCCCGGGTAACCCCCTGCTTGCCCTGGCATGCTCTTGGGGCCACTTCAGGCCCGGAGGCAGCCACCCTGGAGGCAGGGCTTCTAGGGCCTTATCCTCGGTCCCACGGCCCCCCACTGCTCACAATTTGTTAACGTCTAGACCTTTCGACCTTGCTTGTCACTCCCTACGGGAATAGGCAGGCCTTTGCTTTCCGTGCGGCGTCCGGGCAGGAGGCAGGGCCGCCAGGTGGCTGAGCAGGAGGAAGGGGGAAGTACAGTAACACAGTCACTGATGAAAGCACTGGTTCTGCGCCAGGTGCTGTGCTTCGTGCTTTTATGAGCATCATCTTATTTGATCTTCAGATGTTTATGAAGGAGCTGTTGCCCTGGTTCCCGTTTTACAGATGAGTAAACCGAGACTCAGTGTCACTAAGCGTTCTGCCAAGGTCTCCAACAGGCAGAAGTTGAGGCCATGATTCAAGCCCATGCCTGCCTGCTTCACAGCCAAACCTCTGTACTACATTTCTTTGTCACTGTGCTTAGCCACCAGCTTCAGAGAGGGGACAGCATGTACTGGACAGCTTTTGTTTGTTTCCCAGGTCATTCCCTAGCCTTGTCTGTCCTGTGCTGTGCCCTGAGCAGCTGTCCCATATGACCTAACAACTGGCTGTCTTGCCTTCTGGGTTCCCGTGGGTTGGAATGAAGGGAGCATGAGGTCAGGATATTGAGTCTCTCAGCTTCCTCCCTTAGGGGTTATCATGGTTGGCTTTGTCCTTCCGTGGAAAGTCACAGCTTCTAGAAGGGCAAGCACATGGTTCCAAGGTTCTGTGACTGTTGCTGCTTCTGAAAAAAAATTTTTTTGAAGATTTTACTTATTTATTTGATAGAAGACACTGCGAGAGAGAGAGAACACAAGGAGTAGGAGAGGAAGAAGCAGTAGGAGAGGGAGAAGCAGGCATCCCCCTGAGCAGGGAGCCCAATGCAGGGCTCAATCCCGGGAACCTGGGATCATGACCTGAGCCCAAAGCAGACGCTTAATGACTGAGCCACCCAGGCACCCCTGCTTCTGATCTCTTTAAGGTCTGTGAATGGTTAACTGGCTTCCCTCTGTGCTGTTACTGGCTCTGAAGTGCCTTACCATTGCTCTTGGTTTCTCTGACATCCAGCCCACAGGTTGGTGGCCCCTTTACTAATATCTTCTCACATTGCCCACATTGAGTGTGCTCTGTTTCCAGGCAGAATCTTGCTGATTTGGGGGACCGGCTTGTAGTCAGTGTGATGTGAACACTCCCCCATCCCCCAGCAGTCTGGGCCATGTGCATGCAGACCTGAGGATAACACCAGCCATAGGGTGGACCATTGGTCGTCATGGTATGGCCTTGAATGGGGTGAGGACAGAGGGACTTTCACCACCTGGGTCCTTTTTAGGGTGGCTGGAAATCCAAGGCTTTGGGGCCTGTAGTGGACACTACTGGCAGATGAGCAGCTGGAGGTAGCAGTGCTGTCCAGGTGTCAAAGCACAGGAACCACCTCTTGGCTTCAGCACCCCCATGCCCGTCTTCCCTAGGCTGTCAGCTGGCAGATTTTTACTGAGCATACATCACATGTATATGCTCTGCTGAACGCTTGAGGTACAGTGGTGAGCCACACAGAAAAACAGGCCCGCCCTCCTATCTGCGGGAGGATAGGCATTAAATGACTACAAATAATTAAGTAAATTCCAACAGTGGAAAATGCTTCAGTGAGAGTCCCAGGGTATTATTGGATGCTGTGATGGGAGACCCCTCTGGTCTAAGGGTCAGGGAGGGTGAAGTTCACCTTGAAATTCACCTTGCAAAGGTGAAGTTTAAGGTAAGATCTGAAAGATGATTCAGATTAGCCAGCAGGAGAGCCCGTAGAGGGCTTTCCTGGTAGAGAAACAGCCCTCGGGACAACACTGAGGTAGGTGGAAGAGATCATGAGTGTTCCGGGACCAAGATGTCTGGTGAACTCGTCCAGAGTGTGGACAGAGGCCACACCATGAGGGGCCTGGTATTGCTGCCATAGAAGCCATTGTGAAAAACGTGCGGCTGGTAGAGAGCCTTCTGAGCAAAACGGGAAGGGTGCGAAGGATCTGACCTAGGCTAGGCCCCTGGCAGCGTGGGCTCCGTGCCCCCACCCTTGTTCTCCAGATAGCTTGCTTGCTTGCTTTTTTTTTTTTTTAAAGATTTTTTTAAAAAGATTTTTTAAGATTTTTTTTTTTTTTTAATTTGACAGACCGAGATCACAAGTAGGCAGAGAGGCAGGCAGAGAGAGGGGGAAGCAGGCTCCCCGCTGAGTAGAGAGCCCAATGTGGGCTCGATCCCAGGACCCTGAGACCATGACCTGAGCTGAAGGCAGAGACTTAACCCACTGAGCCACCCAGGTGCCCCACCAGATATCTTTCTTGCTGCCAGTGATGCAGTGATTGTCATTTTTCGTGGCTCACACGCAGTCAGTGTGTTGAGGTTAAGCATTTTCTTTTAAAGGGCACGTGACGCTGCAAGGGTTCAGCAGCTCTCACATGGTATGTCATTTCTGTTTTGGTGTGGAATAATTCAGTTTCCTCTCTTCCCAATACTTAAGTGAAAACACTGGTACCTGAGGGCATAAGAATATTATGGTGCCTAATGTGTACTGTCTACTTAACTCTTTCACAGGAGGGAAAAATAACCCTCCTGAACTGAAAATACCAGCTCTGTGTGTGCATCACTCAGACGCCTATTTGATTTTTTGCAGGGGATATCTGTCCATTTTCGTGAGGGTGATCAGTTAGAGCCAGGTTCTAATTTCTGCCCTGAATTTTTTTTTTTTTCTCCTGAGGTGGATCTTGGCATTTTCTATGAACTTATGAGACCTAAGATGTTGGTTAGGTTCAGAGAGAGCAGATGTCTGTGGAGCTGGGGCACTTGGGAGGAGGGTTGGCCCCTATACCTGGCACCCTTTGTTTTCCAGACGTGTAACCTTTCTGGCTTCTTTTCTTCCTCTGTTTTGTGGCCGCCCCAGCAAACATGTTTTTCTTCTAATTATATAAGTGGTACATGCTCATCAACCAAAGGCTACAGAAAGACTGTCATTGTGAACCCACCGCCACCAAATTGGCAGGGTTTCCTGCAGAGGCACCCAGAGCCTTCTCTGAGTTACAGTTACAGTCATACAAGAACTTGACTTTCTTCTGTCAAGGACACACCTTGCTGCTGAAGCCATATACTCTGCCCTGTCTAACCTCTACTGTTCCCTCACCCTCCTCACTTTTCCCATCAATTTGATATATCCTTAAACTTCTCTATTCTAAAAGCTGAAACAGAAACCTCCTTTGGCCCCTTATCACCTTCCCTGGCTTTCTTGTCCCCTTCCTAGCTGCATTTTCAGAAAAACTCTGTCTGTTTATCAGTGTCCTTACTGTTTCTTGTGCTCACCATTCTTCTGTGTGGATCCATATTTCCATCCAGTATCGTTTTTCTTTGGCCTGAAAGAATACCTTTGAGATTCTTGTTCTGGGTGTTTGCTGGTGATGAATTCTTTTAGCTTCTAATGTTTCTGAAAAGGTATTTATTTTCCCTTCTTTTTAAAAAATATTTTATATATTTGAGAGAGAGACAGAGCATGAGCAGGGTGGAGGGGCAGAGGGAGAGGGAGAAGCAGACTCCCCGCTGAGCAGGGAGCCCTATGTGGGACTGAACCAAAGGCAGACACTTAACCATCTGAGCCACCCAGGTGCCCCTTCCCTTCATTTTTGAAAGATATTTTTCCTGGGTATAGAATTTTAGGTTTATAGTTTTTTCCTTTCAGTACTTTAAAGTTGCTACTTATCTTTTTTTTTTTTTTTTCCTTTTTTAAAGGTTTTATTTATTTATTTGACAGACAGAGATCACAAATAGTCAGAAGGAGAGGGGGGAAGCAGACTCCCTGCTGAGCAGAGAGCCCGATGTGGGGCTCGATCCCAGGACCCCAGGATCATGACCCGAGCCAAAGGCAGAAGCTTTAACCCACTGAGTCACCCAGGTGCCCCTAAAGTTGCTACCTATCTTGCTTGCATTGTTTTCATCAAGGAATCTGCTGTCATCTTTATCTTTCTTCCTCTGTACGCAGTATATCTTTTTTCTCTGGCTGCTTTTAAGATTTTTGTTTTTGTCACTGATTTTGAGCGATTTGATTATGATAATGTCTTGGTGTAGTTCATTGAGCTTGGGATTTGCTGAACTTCTTACTATAGATTTATGATTTTCATCAAGTATGTGCAGTTTTTAGTTATTATTAATTCATATACTTTTTCTGTCCACACTAACCTCCCTACTCTGCCTTCTGGGTATTCTCATGATCTGTATGTTAGGCCACTTGAAACTATCCCACAGCTCACTGATTCTCTTAATTTCTTTGGATTCTTGTTTTTATTGTGTGTTTGATTTTGGATAGGTTCTTTTGCTGTGCTTTCAAAATCATACTCGGTTGCTATCCTTCAAATTCACTAGTCTGTCTTTTCTTCTGCATTGCCTAATCTGCTATTAATTCCACCCAGTGTAGTTTTCATTTCAAACATTGTAGTTTTCGTTGCCAGACTACAATCTGGGTTTTTTTTGAAAAATCGTATTATAATTGACACATAACATTATATTAGTATATATAGTTTCAGGTGTACAACATAATGATTTATTATTTGTGTATAATTGCACAATGATCACCACAGTAAGTCTAGTTAACATCTGACACCATGCATAGTTATATTTTTTTCCTTGTGATGAGAACTTTTAAGGTTTACTCTCAGCAACTTTCAAATATGCAAGACAGTATCACTAACTAGAGTCACCATACTGTACTTTACATTGCCATGACTTACTTTGTAGCTGGAAATTTGTACTTTCTGACCATCTTTACCCATTTCATCCGCTCCCCCCACCATCACCTCTGGCAACCACCAGTCTGTTCTCTGGATCTATGAGCTAGTTATTTATTTATTTATTTATAAAAATCCCACATGTAAGTGAGAGCATATGTTATTAGTCTTTCTGAGATTTACCTGACTTAGTGTAATGGTCCATCCATGTTGCAGATAGCAAGGTTTCCTCTTTTTGTGACTGAATAATAATATCGTGTGTATAGATTCTGTGTTCTTTATTCATTCTTCCTTTGGTAGACACTTAGGTTGCTTCTGTGGCTTCTGTAAATAAGGCTGCAGTGAATATGGGGTGCATATATTTTTTTCAAATTAGTGTTTTTGTTCCACCCAGAAGTGGAATTGCTGGATCAGATGGTAATTATAGCTTTAATTTTTTGAGGAACCTCCATACTGTTTTCCACAATAGCTGTACCAATTTACATTCCTTCCAAGAGTGTACAAGGGTTTCCTTTTCTCTCCACGTCCTCACTAGCACTTGTTATTTCTTGTCTTTTTGATAATAGCTAATCTGAGAGGTAGGAGGTGAGATCTCTGTGGTTTCGATTTGTGTTTTGATGTGGATCTTTTATATTTTATGTCTCTAGATCTGTTTAACTTTCTGAACATATGTAATAGAGTTATAATTACTGTTTTAATATCCTTATCTCCTAATTCTGACATCTGCAAGCTGTCAGTCAGTTTTAATTGGTTAATTACCTTTTTCATTATTGATGACATTTTCCTGCTTTTTTTGCATGCCTGGTAATTTTTGATTGGATGCCAGACATTAATTTGACCTTGTTGAATGCTGGATATTTTAGTATTCCTCTAAATATTCACGAGTTTTGTTCTAGGGTACAGTTGAGTTAGCTGAGTATGGTATGTTCCTTGCTTTTAAGGTTTGCGAGGCAAGAGCAGAGCTGTATTTACTGTAGGAACAATTTTGCCCTACTACTTTTGTGTACGCTCCCCAGTGCTCAGGGAACTGTGAGTTTTTCCAGTCTAGGTGGTGGGAACAGGTACGCTTCCCAGCTCTGTGTGAGGGTTGGGTACTGTTGCCTCTGATCCTTTTGGGTGGTTCTTTGCCTAGCTTTGGGAACTTACCCACATGTAAATGCTGACTGCTGTATTAGATTGGGGTCACTCTGCAGGTCTCTGGAGCTTCCCCATCTCTACTATTCTGTCTCACGAACTCTAGCTTTCTTGGTCTCTGTGAACCCTCAGTACCATCTCCTCAACTTGAGGAGTGCTGGACTCTGCTTGCTTCCTTCACTGCTCCCTGAGCCATGGCAGGCATTCCCTCTGGTGGTAAACTGGAACACTTGCAGGGCTCTCCTCTTCCTGTTTCTCAGGGATCCCTATCCTTCGTTGCCTGCTTACTAGTCTCCTGAAACCGGTTCACATTTTTGGCCTTTTTTTGGGTTGTTTCACTAGGAAGGGTGAATCTGGTCCCTCTTACTCCAGCTTAGCCAGAGCAGAATTCTCAGACAAGGTTTTTGAATTGCTGAATCAATCTGCAAATCTCTATGGGGATATTCTCTGAGAACTGTACAAGTGTGCATGCCTTAGGAAGCTTCCCCAACTTTAAAGCCAGTTGGTTATTTACACTTTGATGACATGCTGTTGGCTTGGCAGAGCCCATTGCATGGCTGGTGGTTTCCCAGTCACACGGTGAGCTTGTCTGAGTACAGCTGGGCTCATTGGTTCCCCCTGGTCAGTGCTTGGCACTGAGTCTGGCAGCTCTTGTTGAGTTAATGGGAGATGGAGGGCAGGAGTCCCTGTTGCAGAGGTGAGTGGAGATTGCTCGGTGGTTGAATGAGACTTCCCCAGACTCTTCCCTTACCTGAGCATTTTGCCCAAGTTCTGTCTTGTGGCTCCACAGTGGGAAGAAGGTCCTCCTTCGCCCTGCTGTGGCCCTGGTCCTGAGGGCTGCACCTCCTGGCACTCCCAAGGGCAGCAGACAGGAGAGTCGGCTCTGTCTGGCTAGAGAGGCACGGCAGGCAGGAGCTGCTGTATGGCTGGAGCATTGTTCCCAGGCCGTGAGGCATCATCTCAGCCCCCGAGATATCGTAGGGGAGGGTAAGGCCCGATCTGGCACGGCAGCCAGAAGACTTCATTCAGGGACCTGGCTCTGCTGCTTATTAGCTTGTGTGCTGTTGGGCGTTACACCGCCTCTCTCTGCCTCAGCTGGGTCCTCCGCTAAGTGGGGATGGTAACCCTTGTCCTGCCAGGCTAAGAGCTGTTAGAATGTATGCAAGGATGCATCGCTAGAGTAGAATCTTCTATAAAGGCAGCATTTTTTTGTTGGATATTCTCATCAAACAAATGAACTCACTAAGGTGTTTGTGTTATATTTTTCTCATTGGATTTCCTCATTGGATATCTGCACTGGAATGTTTTTGCTTATAATCCACATGGCAAGCCGCAGGTATCACATGAAGGTCTGTATTTGTCCACTTTGTATTTGACATTCATTAATCTGGTACCTCCTGGTGACCTTCTTCGTTATCTGGAGAAGGGTGGACGGCCCTCTGAGAGTTTCATGGGAAGGTTACCTCTTTTCTCTGTCGGGGAGAATCTCTTATTTGAGGAGAACTGTAATTTTGGGGGCTTCATGGACTTTGAAGGGACTTATGAGTGGGCCCACGCCGGCATGTTTCAGTTGCAGAGGACAGCAGTCATTTGCAGTCGGAGGAGCAGCCTGCTCCCTCCCTGCAGGCGGGAGCTGGGTTGGCCAGTGAGGAGGAGCCCCCGCGCGGCCCCGCAGGCCAGGACATGTCTGCAGGAGAGGCCGGCTCAGTGCTGGGGCTGGATGCTGACGGCGACCACGTGGTGATGCTGTCCGTAATCCCTGGGGAAACCGAGGACAAGCTGAGGCCCGAGCCCAGTGGCGGCACCTGTGGGGCCCGAGGGGAGCAGGACTCAAGGTGCAGTCTCCGGGAGCACATATTCTCTCTGGATGGCGTGGGACCCGGCTTCCAGGACAGGGAGGAGGAGTATTACGCAGAGCCTGAAGTGGCCGAATCCGACCCGGCCCCACCGGAGGACTCCAATAACACGGAAAGTCTGAAATCCCCCAAGGTGAACTGCGAGGAGAGAAATGTGACGGGATTAGAAAACTTCACTCTGAAAATTTTAAATATGTCACAGGTAAGAAAGAATGGTTTAGTGCTTTTCTCTTTTTCTGCTATTGATTTTATAGACTTTCAGCTGCTGGGTCAGAATTTTTATCATTTTATAGGTGGGATGGCATCTAATGGGTGCATCGCTGAAAATTCATTTGGTTCTCTATGATGTTCGTAGGGAGAGGAGGTGATAGAACTAGTGTCAATTATGTTTTTTAGACGGGTTGACCCTTGGGGTCCTCTCTTCACCAGGCCTCATGATGAAAATCCCAGTGGACAGAGGCACCAACAGTGGCTCAGTTGGTTAAGTGTGACTCTTGGTTTAGGTTGAGGTTGTCATCTCGGGATCATGAGATGAAGCTCCACATTGGGCTCTGCTCAGCAGTGTCTGCTTGAGATTCTCTTCCTCTGTTCCTCCCCCACTCTCATGCCCTCTCTCTCACTCTCTCGCAAGTAAATAAATAAATCTTTAAAAAAAAAAATCCCAGTGAACAGATAGGCGCTTGGGATCAGAATTCCTAGCATTTTTCTTCTTCCAAATGAGGTATTTATTACAGAGGCAAGTTTAAAAAAAATCTGAATTACTAAGATTGTGATTTAGCGTTGTTTAGAGTGGTGATACCCCTGGGGAGCATTTTATGTTAATGAAAAATTTCTTTCCTTCAAAGAGCTTGACTCCAGTGTTTTCTCTGGAGTGAGAGCTGAGATAGTTGTCCCCAACCCAGCCATGCTTTACCAGTCCATTGGATAAAGGATAATTCTGAAGAGAATACTGGGATAATGACTATTTCTGTGGGATTGTTAAGCTAGGTAGCAGGATGAGTTCAGGCTACTTATGTAATATGAGAAGAAATCCTAGCTGTGCACACTGTGACTGCTTATTTTAAATGGGGGTATGTGGTACGCTGAGTGTCCGTCCACGTGCAGTAGTCAGCGCTGGCCTCACACCATCCCCTCAGCGCCCGGTTAACCCTGTGCCTTAACTCTGTAGGGCTGTTTCTAGGGTGTCACATACTTGACCAGGAGAGAGAGCTGTTTCAGCAGTGTGAGTTGGGTGGTGGCAGGGAGGGTGCACCCTTAAATTGAACTAGCCTTCGGCTGAATATACTGATTCAACTGCTTGTGGATTGGGATCTGCTGCATTGATGATTGGGGCCTGAGATCTCAGTGCTTTATTAATGCCGTTAGAGTGTGTGAGAGGCCTGTGCCTTATCGGTACTTAGTATTTGAATTGATGGATTATGAAAAATAATATAATTGCTCCATAGTACTATCAAGGAAGTTTATAGGAAAGTTTATGATTTGTTATTTGATAATACTTTTCTGCTGATTCATGTATTCCTATGGTTCAAAACCCACAAGTCTATTAAGGGGATACCTATAGACTCTCTCCAGTCCGTGTTCCTGCCTCCTCTCCTTGGAGGCAGCAGTGTTTCCAGGTTCTTGGGCATTCTTGGGCATATATGTGAACACTTTCTGCTGACTTTCTCACTTGTTTCTTTTACTACAGGACCTTATGGATTTTCTAAACCCAAATGGTAGTGACTGCACGCTAGTCCTGTTTTACACCCCGTGGTGCCGATTTTCTGCCAGTTTGGCCCCTCATTTTAATTCTCTGCCCCGGGCATTTCCAGCTCTTCATTTTTTGGCACTGGATGCATCTCAGCACAGCAGGTATGTTCCCTGAGTAGAGCTTATGTGTCACCCTCCTGGCTGATGCTTGCAGTTATGTGGAGGTTGTCATCAGTTAAGTTTGAAGCCGAGGAGGTAGGTGTGAGCATGGAAGCTGGACTGGCGAGAGGGATAGACAAGCGTGAGTGGTGAGAGTGGTCATGTTCCTCAGGGAGCTGAGGCCTCACTTTCTGGAGGCCCCTGAAGAGGAGAGACTGTTCTCTGCACAGTGGAATTTATCTGTCAATCATCTATCTACCCATCTAACCTATTTTTATGTTAATCGTATCTATTGTTTACTCAGGGCTTACCAGGTTCTAGATATTGGGGAAAGCACTTTTCATTTTGTATGTCATTTTGTCCTCAAAACAGGGGGAGTGGTTACATACTATAACTTCCCCCCATTTTGCACAGAAGTAAGTAACTAGATTGTATTATATAAATGAATGAGTTGTTATGACTGAGTTAATAATTTTTTAAAAATTTAAGTTCAATTTAGTTAACATATAGTGTATTATTAGTTTCAGGGGTAGAGTTTAGTGATTCATCAGTTGCATGTAATGCCCAGTGCTCATTCCATGACGTGCCCTCCTTCGTACCCACCACCCAGTTACCCGGTCTCCTTACCCACCTTCCCTCCAGCAACCCTCAGTTAGATTCCCAGAGTTACGAGTTTCTTTTTTTATGAGGTTTGCCTCCCTCTCTGTTTTTATCTTATTTTGTTTTTCCTTCCCTTCCCCTATGTTCATCTGTTTTGTTTCTTAAATTCCACGTATGACTGAAATCATGTGGTATCTGTCTTTCTCTGGCTGACTTGGCGTAATACTCTGGTTCTATCCGTGTCACTGCACATGGTGAGATTTCATTCTTATTGATGGCTGGGTAATATTCTGTTGTGTGTGTGTGTGTGTATCTTTATCCATTCATCTGTTGATGCACATCTGGGCTCTTTCTGTATTATGGCTATTGTGGACATTGCTGCTATAAACACTGGGGTGCAGGTGCCCCTTCGAATTACTATGTTTATATCCTTTGGATAAATAACTTAGTAGTGCAATTGCTGGATCCTAGGGTAGTTCTATTTTTAACCTTCTGAGGAAGCTCCACACTGTTTTCCATAGGGTCTGCACCAGTTTGCAGGGTGGAGTTTAAAGGTGGTTCCACCTGATGGCAGTGGAGGGGCCAGAGGACTCTTCAGGGTGTTGGCCAGCCTAAATTAGCAAAATTGGTATCACAAGTGGGACCCTCCTGAGACTCACCCATGGTTTAGGTTTCTACCCCTGGCAGCCCCAACTCAGCACCCTGTTGTATGTTTGCTCAGGATTTCTTTCTTTCCCTCCCCCTTTCTTCTCTCCTTTTGTTTACACTTATTCTTGCATGTATGTTCCTTAGTGCACAGTGAATCAATTCATGAATTAATTTAGGCCCTTAAAATGACATTTACTTTTGTTTTATATTATTCAGTGGGCTCTTGTCTTTTTTAGATGTTGACGGAGCTGCGTTATAAAGACCTATGTTCACATGTTCTGTATTTCCCCCCAGTGCTGTGACTGTGCCTGGGTTATAAAGCGTGACCCTCCTCCTCTACATCACATACCCTTTAGCAGGGTGCAGGAGGTTGTGTGGGAATCAGTTTGGGAAGTCTGGAAGATGGTCAAGTTGGTAAAAATGAAGTTGGTTAAACTTTTTTGAGTTAAAAAAATTTTTTTAAGATTTCTTTCTTTCTTTTTTTTTTTTTTTAAGATTTTATTTATTTATTTGACAGACAGGGATCACAAGTAGACAGAGAGGCAGGCAGAGAGAGAGAGAGGGAAGCAGGCTTCCTGCTGAGCAGAGAGCCCGATGCGGGACTCGATCCCAGGACCCTGAGATCATGACCTGAGCTGAAGGCAGCGGCTTAACCCACTGAGCCACCCAGGCGCCCAGATTTATTTATTTCTTGATTTGAGAGAGAGGGAGGGAGGGAGGGACTGAGTGAACAGGGAGAGGGGGAGAGAGAGGGACAGAAGCAGACGCCCTACAGAGCCTGACGTGGGGCTTGATCCTGTGAACCTAAGATTACAACCTGAGCTGACACCAAGAGTTGAATGCTTAACCCACTGAGCTACCCAGGTGTCCCTCGAGTAAAAATTTTGAGTAAAACTTTGCACTCTATTGATCTTCAGTGTGGATAATATAACTGCTAATATTTACCTAAATTATTATTATTATTATTATTGCTTTTTTTTTTTTTTTTTTTTGACAGAGAGAGATCACAAGTAGGCAGAGAGGCAGGCAGAGAGGGAGAGAGGGAAGCAGGCTCCCTGCTGAGCAGAGATCCCAATGCGGGACTCAATCCCAGGACCCCGAGCTCATGACCCGAGCCGAAGGCAGAGGCTCAACCCGCTGAGCCACCCAGGTGCCCTTACCTAAACTTTTTTAGGGAGAAAGAATCACAGCAAATTAGTAATTCTCACAAGGGCTTCAGAGAAATATATACGTGGCCTGGCCCAAGGGAGCAGACTGATGGAAAGGATGGTCTAGGTTAGTGTCAGACTTTGGGCATTCCCCTGCCCCAAGCCTGCCAGGCTGGGTCCCAGCACCAGCTTAGTACTCTGGGTTTGGGGTTCCATTCCCTGCGGGCTTTTATCATCTGCTTCATTTGGTCATCTTCATGAGTCCTTCTCAGTGCCTCTTATGGTGCCTTAATCATGGAGAGTAGAGGATACTTGTCCTTGTTATTTGGCCTACAACATATGTTTGCCTCCTGTGTTAAATATTTAAGTGACACCATGTTTACAAAAGAAAAAAATCCTGACTATCCAGTACTATCATTTTACTAACAGGAGAAACTGAGGTTTAGAGAGGTTAGATAGTCCACCCGAAGCTCACACAGCTGGGTAGGTGACAGACCTGAGACTTGAACCCATGTGTTTTGACTCCAGAGCTTATACCATGACTTTGTATTATGTAAAGGTGAACCAGTCCCACTCAGATCCTATTACATTCTGCCCCAGTTGTGAACTTCCTGGTGTGTCTGCTAGACCGCAGATTCCCATTCCTCTTGTATGAGGGATGGAGATGGGCATCCTGGAGAGTTTGAAATTTCTTCTGTCAAGTTAATTGACACAGTTTGTTTTGTCTATGAGTTAGAATTTTCTGGTCTGATCTCTTTTGGCAGTTTGCAACTTAAATAGCAGAATAACTGGGGGATGCCTGGCTGGCTCAGTCGGTAGAGCATGCGACCCTTGATCTTGTGGTGGTGAGTTCCAGCCCCACATTGGGGGTAGAGTTTACTTAATTAAAAAAAAAAAAGTGGAATAACTGTGTCAAGGGTAGTTCCTTGTTGTAACAGAAAGCAGCTCAGCAGAACAGGAATGCCCCCCAACCTCAACCCATAAGGAAAAAGGTCAGAAATAGCTATAAGCATATAGTTTGACTATCAGAAACCTCTGTAGGTCACAGGAAAATGATGCTTTCTCATTTATTGCCATCCATTCTGATATGGTAACTGTGTGAGGAAACCCACTGGTAGTTAGGTTGTCTGACTGACTTCTTTCTGTTATAGCCTTTCTACCAGGTTTGGCACCGTAGCTGTTCCTAACATTTTATTATTTCAAGGAGCTAAACCAATGGCTAGATTTAATCATACAGACCGAACATTGGAAACACTGAAAGTCTTCCTTTTTAACCAGACAGGTATGTACAAATTATATGCTGTAGAAGGGACTTTATTGCTGGAGGTATATGTCTTCTGTGGGTTCCTGTCTGCTCTTCTTAAGTGAAGGAATCAAGACTGGATTTCAGGTGTAAACCTTCTTTTCATGAGAACTACCGTGGTTCTGTTAAAAGTCTCTCAACCAGCGGCAAGCTTAACACGAATAGGTATTTTTAGTGATTATCGATACCTTTAAAAAACCAGCTTTATTATTCTATAATTCACATACCATACACCTGTAGTTAACTTTTTACATACATTTTTCACTAAAGTGTAATATTTACACAAATATGTGCATTATATTGGTGTGCTGGGTGATGAATTTTCACAAAATGAAAGCCTTGGGTAACCAGACTCTGACCCAGAGAGAACATTACCAGTCCATCCCCTCAGCGCTACTGCTCCTGCCCATCAGGGTGACCACCATCTTGACTTCTAACACCATGGACTAGTGTTATCTGTTTTTGAACTTTATATATATATATATACACACATATATATATATATATATATATAAATTTTTTTTAAGATTTTTTTATTTATTTGACAGAGATCACAAGTAGGCAGAGAGAGAGGAAGGGAAGCAGGCTCCCTGCTGGGCAGAGAGCCCATTTGGGGCTCGATCCAGGACCCTGGGATCATGACCTGAGCCGAAGGCAGAGGCTTTAACCCACTGAGCCACCCAGGCGCCCCTGTTTTTGAACTTTATATTAATGGAGACACATATAATGGATTCCCTTGTGTCTGGCTCATTTCAGTCACCATTATGTTTGTGGGATTCACCTACGTTGATGCATATGGTTATATTTTCTTCCTTTTTGTTGCTGTGCGGTATTCCGTTTATTCATCCATATGCAGATGCTATTTTAATTCCTTAATATTTGCCAAAACATGTGGCCTTATTTTTTATTCTGTAAAAGTCTGAACACGGACTATTGAAGAAATTTTCTTTGCAAAACTTTGCTCCATAAAAGCTTTAATGCCTTAATTATGAGCACCCTACTTCTTCCTGAAGTATATTCACTGGAAATCAAAATGAGTTATAACATACCTTCCATATGTATTAAGTTGCATCTCATTACTTATATCTCACAGTAAAGAACATAAAACTGAGTTACCTCATAGGAGTGAAAGGGTTGTTAACAGTTAATTAGCTATTCAAGTATTCTAGGACCAGACCCATGACTGTCAATCAGGTTGAAATGGAGAGAGGGAGCCATTTTGCTCAACGATCTAAGAAAACCTAGAACCTAAAAGAAATTGAGGAGTCACAGCATCTTTGGTAATCTCTGCTATCAGTGGTGGTTAGTCCCAACAATTTTTTCAGTGACTTATTTAAAAGCATTTTGAATTTAGCATTCCTTCACCTGTGAGAACATTCTGTAGACTCCTGAGAGTAGCTTTACCAGTTGCTTATTGAATTTTAATCTCAAAGAGAACAAAAGACAACTCTCACCATGCCCGAAGACCCTTCTGAGGAGTTCACAGAAATTCTAGTGTTTAGGTTTGAACAGCTGAATGGGTTCCTGTTCCTTTGATGTGGTGGGAGAAAGGCAAGTTACAAATTACACTAACAGGCAAGTGAAACCCATCCCAGATATACTCGTGTGGTGTTTATTTTAAGACCGCATATCTTTTTGCATACCATGCAGAATATTTCAGAAAGATCTTTAGCGGGTATGTTTTCTCTCTGATTTGAAACAGCTGATTTCTCTTTCAGGTATAGAAGCCAAGAAAAATGTGGTGGTAACTCAAGCTGACCAAATAGGCCCTCTTCCCAGCACTTTGATAAAAAGTGTGGACTGGCTGCTTGTATTTTCCTTATTCTTTTTGATTAGTTTTATTATGTACGCTACCATTCGAACGGAGAGCATTCGGTGGCTAATTCCAGGACAGGAGCAGGAACATGCTGAATAGCAACGGACTGAAAGGAGACGTCGGGACAAGAAATTTCAGAAATTAGTGCTGCACTTCCTTACATACTCTCCAGTGAAGTACAGACTTACAGCTTTAGTCAGATTAAAAGAATCATGCATTTGTTGAACTGTTGAATGTGTTAAAAAATTATAAATTGGTGTTTTAATTAGTACTGCAAAAAACAAATGCAAATTCAACAGAAGTCACCATTCTTGTTTTTACTAATCCAGTATTTTAAGGGGGGTAATCCAGTTTCAAATGGGAGCTGTGTTCAGGTGGAACAGTGCGTAGAATGATAGTTGGCTTCATAGGAGGAGGAAATAGGACTTTTGACAGTATAGTTCTAGAAAAGTCTTGATTCCTAAAAAGTCTTTATGTCGAAGAAGGTTGGTTTCCGTTCATTTGCAGTTTTTCTCTCAGAGCCTGTAAGCAGGAAAATGTTCTGTTGTGGAAGAAGAACTAGAATTGATAAGTGTGACCTTGTAAGTAACTGGGAAAATAAGAGTCAAGTACTTTGGTGTTTATGATCTCTAATTTCACCGGAAGAATTTGAAGTGGTTTAAATCATTTCTGGATAGGGCAGATGTTAGAAGAAAGTAAATATCATCAAACTAAAGCTTATTTATTAACAGTTCTAGGCTAAAGCATAACTCAAATTTTAGTCATTACCTAACCAGCATGCACTGATTCAACCTTAAAACGTTCTTGGCACTGTGCTAGTTTGTCAGAGCCAAAAGAAATATGTAACACTGTTCTTGCCTGCAAGTTGATTCTAGTCTAGCTTAGGACATAGGTAGAAAAGAGACAATGTGTAATTTATACCAACTTTTTTGAAAAGCTGTTTCTAAAAGATCCCTTAAATGCAGATATAAGACATCTGACCACATAATGACAAGTAACCTTTGTAGTGACTATTTCCAGTGTTTCAGATAGAGTAGTACATTTTATCACGCACCCTAAATTCTATGGAAATAGAATCTTAGTTGAGTCACCTTGTCTGAATGTTATGTTGGGCAGGAGTTTACAATTTTAAGTTGTGGACAGCTATGGCTGGGGTGGTCACTGGTGGAAGGGACGGTGGTTCAGAAAGGTACTAGTATTTTTTTCACTTTACAAATGAGCAGACTGAGGCATGGAGAGAGGCTGAGTAACTTGCCCAGGTTACATACACAGTAAGCTGATGAAGCTGGGATTTGAACCTTTGCATGTATGTGTGTGTGTACTTATAAGAAAAACTTACAGTGATTCCATCTTTTATAACAATAACGAACATTTGAGTCTGTGTGTGTTCTTACTATTTTAAGTTCTTTACCTACCATTTTATTTATTGGTACAGTAGCTCTGAGATTGACACTAATATTAAATATCCTTGTTTTATAGAAGGGTAATAAATGAGGCCCCAAATAACCTGCTCTGGGTCATGCAGCTTCCAGTAGGGGGACCCACGTTCCAAAGTAAGCATGGTGACTGGAGGGGCCTCTGTGCCATGAGCTGAGAGACAATCATAATCCATTACCCTCTTGTCTTTCTCCTTTGTTTCCCATAGTTAGAGTCATAACATAATTGTCATTTAGCACCTTGTTTGTTTTGTTTTGCTTAACAAGTGATAAATATTTCACTGTTGCCAAGAGATTTCCTAACCATGACTACCTAATAGATCTTTGAGAAGGTTCAGCATTACTTAACTTTTTTTTTTTAAGTTATGATTGTATATAGTCTTATTTCCTGGGGGGGGGGGCACACTCCCAGATGAGAAGCTGTCTTATTAAAGATACAGGCATATTCATGCCTTTGATATGTAATGGGGCCCTATGCTGGTGAGGAGGATGAGGATAGGCTCTTAGTATGGCCAACAGATGGATGGCTTTGCTTCTAACACCAAGCTGAGACAAGCTACCTGGGTTTCCCTTGGAGGGAAGGTGGAGCAGGGCCATTCCCTAGAGGGGAGGTTCAAGTGTAGAGAGGATCAATTGGAAAGCCCTGGTGCTGAGGGAACGGGAAGTAGGAGGCAGGACGAAAGGTCCAAGATCCGGTAAACCATCCCAAGCCAAGCATGGTGTCTGTGCAGCAGAACCAGTGTCTGTGCACTGGTACCAGTGCCAGGGATGGGGAGGGCGGGAATTCAGCTGCATGGAAGACAGAAAGATCATGAGAATGCCAGTCACTGGGGACATAAATCCAGACACTTCTGCTCACTCCTGGTTAGTATCAGTTGCCAAGGAAGACACAACACAGTCCCATACTGGATGGAACAGCATTTGTACTCAACAAAAGAGATAGAGCGAGATCAGCTCTAGGAGTGTGCGGTGGTCCCCAAGGCAAGTGGATCCTCCCCAGCAGTGAAAGGCCAGAGTGCCCTTCTAGTGTCTTAGCACAAGCTCCTTCCAACCCAGTGGAGTCTGTAATACTGAAAGGGGTGGGGGGGAGGGGGGCATGGCCCAGGGCTCTGACTTACGTGCTCAAGCAGAATACAGGAGTACATATTGAGTGAGCCTGGATCAGGGAAGGATATTCCCACACAAGGTGTTAAGCCTGGAATAGGCTGTATGGGCTCTTTGTAACAATCAGTAAGGGAGTGTTCTAGGCCTAAGGCCCATTCTTACATGGGTGAGCAGGGCTTAAAAGACTGTGAGCAGGAGACTGCCTTTCCCAAGAGTGTCCACTATAGAGGACTTGCTCAATAAATCTTTGGTAAGGAACTTAAATCCTACTAACTGGAGACCTACATGTGAAGGGTGAGTATCCACAGCCCCTACTGGTGAACATCACTTGCCCTAGGCCCTACCAGCATGCTACTGCTGCTTTTCATAACTAGAGCCAAGACACCAGTTTCCTAAAGTGGATTTAGGGAAGGAAAATGAGGAGTCTTGTTACCTCACACCTACCAGTTCATTTGCAGTTCTCACTTTAATAAGCAAGTCTCCAGGGTATTCATGATTGTATACACCCCACTAAGTACTGGAAACGAAACTTTTAATTCCATCTCCAGTCGCTGCCCACTTGAGGCATCAGGCAACGGAAACTAGTGCCTTAGATGGATAACGTGAGGTCAGTGACATCTGATCAGAGTTTGCAGCAAGATTCCTCCCTTGAGTTTTTGTCAAGTGGGCAAATGTTAAGAATGCATATTGAGCCATGTCTGAATTTTAGGATATTTTGAGGCAAGAAAGCTTTTTTCCCCTCAACTCCATATGGAATATAAAATTAACTGCTAGCAGCTGCTAAGTTGAACTTATATGGACTCTGATATTAAAAAAAATTGAGTATATGGCTAAATCCTAAGCAAACTTGGTTAAATTATTAATTTGCTTAAGCTAGTAAAAAAAGGTGCAAGTAAATATACTAAAAGCCAGTAAATTGTATGTGACATGTCAAAAAAAAAAAAAGGCAAAAAAAAAAAAGTAAGAATAAAATACTAGTAAATATATACATAAAAGAATCCACCTCTTTGGGGGCGGGGGCAGGGGGGGAATCCGTTCATCACCGGAGCGCGCACTGTGCGCTGCTCTTTAGCGAGCATGAAGAGCCGAGTTTCCAGACTGTCCTATCTGGGCCAGCACCGATGAAGCAGCGTGCCCAAGCCCTCAGCGGCTAGGCAGGCCCAGCAGCACTCACGGCTCCCTGCCTTACATGCCCAGACCCGAACTACTGTGGTTCTCTGCCCTCCACGAGCGGGGAAGGGACTGGTTCCCACCCAGCCACCGGAGCCCATCTCCCCCCGTGCCCGCCCGCAAAGTGCCGCCACCAACTCGGGCTCTTGGCCCCACCGCCCAGCAGGAAGCCCAGCACCGACTGTCCTCGAGAGTGCGGCGAGCCGGAGCCCGGACACCGAAGAGCCCACCGGGGCTTAAACCTGAGCACGTGGGCGGGAGAGCGGCTGCGAGGCGGGCACGACGCGGCCCGCGCGGAGCGGGACCTGAAAGCGCGGGGGCCTGCGGCGCCCGCCCGTCTGCTGCCAGCACGGTCTGCGGCCCTGAAGCTCCCGGGACCTTCCGGGGCGGGCAGCGCGGGCGCCTGTAGGACCAATTGGCCCGCGGCTGGGGGTCACCCGCACCGCTCCCGGCTCCCGGCCCGCCCGGTGGACGCCTGCGGGCTGCGGGCAGGCAGCGCGCCGGGCAGCCCTGGGCCGGCGGCCATGGCGGCGGCCCTAGGAGTGCTGGGGCTGTCGCGGCTCCTCCTGGCGACGCTGCGGCGCCGCGGCCGGAGTTTCTCGGCCACGGTGAGTGCCGGGGCCCGCGGTGCGGGAGGAGGGCGAGGCCCCGCGGCGCCGGCTGGTGGCCGTGGGGGAAGGACCCGGGCCGACCCCGCAGTGGGCCCGGCTTTCGGTGTCGGACCTCGGGGAGCAGCGTTCGGGCGCCGGGCACCTGCCAGACGCCTGGCCGGAGACAGGGGCTCCGCAGCATCATCGTTTGTCGTTGTCTGCGAAGCTGCCTGCCGGAAGAAAACCAAGGACGAGTTTTGTGTAAAGAAAGTACAAGTAGCTGCAAAGCTGTCTGACTCTGAGGGTCACTTGAAGTGACTAAAGGCGCGGCGCGCTCGCCAAAAAGCCGCTGGCTCAGCGCGGAGTTAGCTCACTTGTTTTGCTGTGATGTTTGGGAGGAGTTAGTAGCAAATTATCGTATTCGGGGGAGGCAAATCTATACTTCTTTCCTCTTCCGCGGGGAGTTTCGTCATTTTTCTGGCATCAGAAATTAATATATTGGAATACATTAACTGAGGGGAAGCTTTAACACGCAGCACCACCTAGTGGGGAAATGTTGTATCAAATTTCGTGTTTCATCTTAAGAGGCTGGCTGGAGCCCCTTGGCTCTTTGAAAGTCTTTAATAGGACACATTGAAGACAGCTCGATGGTGGAGGAAGGTGAACAGTTTCGTGGCCACTAAGGTGAGAGCGCGAGTTCAGTGCTTACTGTCACCTAAGCGTGTCCCAGGGTATACCTGTACCCAAGGTGCTGATGATTAAGTAAAAATACGGGGTTCAGAGGAATGAACAAACAGGATTTGAGAGGCTGCCACGTGCCAGGGTCTAATGCTGGGTGCCTTCACATTCAAGATCTCTTTAAATTTAACTCTCTCAAAAAAATCTCGGGGCGCCTGGGTGTTTCAGTCGGTTAAGTGTCTGCCTTTGGCTCAGGTGATAATCCCAGGGTTTTTGGATTGAGTTCCACATTGGGCTCCCTGCTCAGCAGGGAGTCTGGTTCTCTTATCCCTCTGCCACTTCCCCTGCTTGTGGTCTCTTTCTTTCTCAAATAAATAAATAAAATCTTAAAAAAGTGTCGACAGGTAGAGGTTGTGATGCCCCCACCATAGACATGAGATACTGGTATTGAGAGAAGCTAAGTGATTTGTTCAGCATCCCCATAGCTGAAAGTAACCAAGTGAGGCCTTGGATGAATTTTGTTCTCTCCAAATCCTCTACTTTTGCCTACCCCACCCCCATCTCCCACAGGGAAAAAAAAAATAAACCCATCATAAAGGGTTCTGCAGAAGGTGCGTCAAGGGGACCATTTGTGTTTCATAGATGAAGTTGCTCCATTTCACAGCCCGGGACACGGTCCCTGTTCTTGGGCAGACACCTGTGGTAAGCACAGAGTGCATACCATTGCCCTTTTTGGGGATGTACATGGCGGAGAATGTGGAGGAAAACAGCGCAGGGGGCGTGTTTCACTCACTCCAGGTGACTGCTGCACTGCCCACAGAATGGTTAAGAGTTTTCCTGGCAGCTACTCAGAGTGGACACATAATTTAATTTCTTTTCCATACTTTTCTGAGTTGACTTAACATATTTAAGGACTAATAAAATTTTAGATTATTTCCTATAACAGGTCACGGTAAGAGTAATGAAGAGTTGTTTTGGATCTTAATAGTTTAAGTGCTTTTGATAGCAGGTCTTCAAATGTTTTTATTTGATTAAGAGGGTTTTTTTTTCCCCTCTTTTTTTTTTCTTATGTTAGTTATGGAGAAGGGTGGCTGACCTAGCAAGGAAGAGAGACAAGAAAATTGGTTCATTAGCAACCTTTTTTCCTCTTCTTAGAATAAGTTGTCCTTTTTTTTTTTTTTTTTTTTTTTTTAAGATATTAGTTATTTATTAGCAAATGTGCACCAGTGGGAGAAGAGGGAGAGGCAGAGGGAGAGGGAGAATCAGGCTCCCCACTGAGCAGGGAAACTGGTGTGGGGCTTGATCCTAGGACCCTGAGATCGTGACCCGAGCTGAATGCAGATGCTTAACCGACTGAGCCAGACAGGTGTACCAGAATAAATTGTCTTAAAGTAGTTTTACTTACTCTGCCCTTTTACTTACTTTAATGTCAGTGATGAACAGTTTCAGGGTTTCTGAAGTGGGAATGAGTTGTAATTTCATGGTAGGGGATACAGCTAAGCCCCTAGTTGCTGTTTGATGAGGAGCCCTTTATAATATGTTTTGTCTTTCTGGGTGACAATCCTTCTCTTACCTGATCCTTCAGTAGCCCTGCAAATAGGTATGGTCGGAGATATTGGTTGGCATTTATGCTGGAGCGAGAGCAAAGCTCTTCTGACTTCTGCTAGAGTGTCCTCTCCTTTCTCTGGCCATGATGTATAGAGTTCTTTCAATTAAAAAACAAATTGCATGGGAAGTGGGGGCATGTTAGCCAACAGGATTCTGGGTTTGTGAGTTTCATCACCAGGGTGCGTGTGGCAACAAGGTGGACAGTGCTCTGGCCAGACTGGGGGGATCTGTCTTACTGGTATTCTGGAAAAACTCACTGTACTAAGGCAAGGGCTTTTTGCCTGTAGTGCAGAGGATCTGTGGACCCACAGAAGTTATTTTCCCAAATCCTGTGTTAAGTGTGTGATTGTGTTTTTCCCCCTGGAAGTTAGTTTTCATCAGAAAGGGGATAGTGCACCCAGAGAGTTAAGAGCCATGTGAGTAGGCAGTGAAGAACACCACGGTATGTGGGACTGTCCAAAGAGCACTGGACCAGGAGTATAGAGCCCTGAGTTCTAATTTGGGCCCTGACAGCGGACTTGCAGGGTCTCCTTGCATGGGTATGCTTACCGAATTTCCCACATCTGGGCATGCTGGCCATTAGTAATACGGTTGTGGTAAGATGACCAATGGTAATGGTTGATGGTTGTATCTGTGATAAACCAGAGACACAGAATTGTGAAGCGTGAGGCAACAGTAAGTGTGAGACACCTTAGCATGGAGGCAGCTTATTTTGTATGGAGCTAGCCTCGTTGTCTATTTTTTGAGAATAGAGGAATCCAAAATGGTCACTGATTGTTGCCCTTAAGGTGTTTTTCTGCATCTCTCCATAAGGGAAAGGGCTATGCATTCGAGTTTGACTGAATCTCTACATTTCAGGTATTACGTGTGTTCTTTTATAGGCAGCAGATGCTCGCCATTTGACAGCAGAGGAGAGGAACCAAGTTATCCTTGACCTGAAAGCAGCAGGATGGTCAGAATTACATGAGAGAGATGCCATCTACAAGGAATTTTCCTTCAAAAATTTTAATCAGGTAAATATGACATATCCTTGCTAGTACCCTGGTCTGTCTGTGTCCTCTCAGGCTGCGGCTCTATAATATTACTGGTGGTCTGGTCCCGTGTGGATCCTTGAGATGTCAGTGACAGCTGCACTGTCCTTGTGGACAGGTGCTGCCATCCAGCTGGGTGAGTCCCAGCTCTAGGGGAAGGGAGTGTTTTTTGTCATATGGAAAATCAGATTCTGAACCCTCTGGTTTGGTGTGGGTTAGGACATTTAGTTTCCTTTCAAAGTTTAAATAACATTAAAAGGATCTGTGAGTTTCTTGTGTGTATCAGAAGAGGGCTTGAGGAACAGCAGTAGAGAAACATACACCTGCTCGACTGATTCCCCCTACTTTTCTTGGATGCTTGTCAAGTTTTCTTTCTCTGTGTACATGTATTTCATTCTCTAATTCAGGCCCCAAGCTTCACGCTTTTCTCTGATTGGCTCGTTTTACCCCAGCCCTTGCAGCTTTTCTTAAAAGCTGACCTTCCCCCTTGGAGACTCAGCTTAACAAGATGACTGTTCCATTAGAGCCCCGCCCTGTTTAGAGAGTCATCTCCCATGACTTATTCTGCAGCTCTTACCTCACAACATTTGTACAAGGTCGGTGCTTTTGACTATTTCGTGTTTGTTCAGTGAGTTTGGTAATCCTCTGGACAGATTTACTGTTTTTATTTATATTAGGTGTCAGCATCTAGAAGGCAGAGACCATGTTTGCTTCAATAACTCTCTATTGTAGCTAACACAGTTCTGGATACAAACAGGCATTTGATAAATGCAGACATTGATTACAGTGTTTGCTAGTTTCTGGAAGGGTGTGTGAGGACCAGGTTTCCACCAAACAAACCTTCGACATGTTTTCCTAGGAAATGCTGTTGGCTCCACTGAGCTGTGTGCCCTCTTCTGCTCTCCATCCATCTGGCTGCCAGCCTTCTGCTTTCAGTCTCCAGCTCCTGAGGAGACCTAGACCAAGCCGACTCCCTGTCCCTGCTGCCCCATGTGCTTGACAGCTCTTGTCAGGGGCTTAGCACTCTGTGGCTGGTGGCAGCGAATCCCATTGGTACAGTAAGCTCGTGCATAAGCTCTAGGTAGCATTTTCCAGGCTTATTAAAATTCTTACATGTGTACAGCCTGACTTCTTTAAGCCTGGGCTAATTTATTGGGCTTGAACATGTGGCTTAAAGTATTTGAGTAGCATTGCCTCGGGCTCTGCCCAAGAGTCAGTCATCCAGCCCCCGCTAACCCTGTGCTTGGGGCGACTTTCAGAAATGGGAGGAAAGAGAAGCTGTGCAGGGCATCCTTGATTAATTGTAATACTATTCATTGGGACATTTTATTACTTTGATTTAAAAAAAAAATTTTGTTTATTTTCTTCACTCAGCTTTTAGGAAAAAGAGGCAGATGACAAGAAAATCAGGGAGTGTATTCAGAGAACCAGCCCTGAGATTATCTCCTGGGGTCAGTTTTCCAGCTGGGTCTCTTAGGGCTTCTGCATGCCCAGTGGCCGGTAATTGCAGCTGATGTCGTGACACCTGTCATTGCCCACCCGCCCAAGATCACTAGGACCACCCCTGGGCTTCTTGGAGCAGGTGGGGCTGAATTGCTTGTTGCAGCAAGAGGTGGACTGCGCGTATTAGGGAGCTGATGGTGTTGGGAAGATTGCTGGGTCTGGTTTGGACGCTGTCAGAAATGGGCAGTTCTGTGCTTCACTATTTTAATCCATCTTACCCGCAGGGAGGGTAGACTAAAGTGGGGCCAAGGCTGAAGTGGGCAGAGAAGCAACACTCACTCATTAGCTGGGAAGGGGGGATGTTTGGTGCTTTGTGGTGTGGACAGTGTTCATGTTTTGTCTGTGTTCACTTAACCTCGCATTCGGTCTTGTTTTTGTTTGAATCCATCCTACTTGCGGAGTGGCCTTGTCTGCTGTTCGTGTGTAACCCCAGGGCCTTGGTGCACCCGCCAGGCCAGCTCCAGCTCTCAGAGTTACCTTTCTCTTTTTCACAGCCGATGCTTACAGTCCTGACCCTCTCTTCCTCATAGATGCTCACTAACCTTTTATTTAGGACAGAAAAGATCCTCATTTTTATTATAAAACAATAATAGGAAACGCTAAAATAGGATGTTGTACATTGAGAAAAAGTCCCATTGCAACTTCTTTCATCTAGTGTTTATTTTCTAGTCTTTTTCCTCGGATAGAGTTTATCCACAACATAGTACTTTTCATGCAGTGATGGTTTTAAAAACCAGCTTGACTTTTATTATAAAAATGGTATTTATTCACTCACCAAATATGTATGAAGCATCTTCACTGTGCCAGGCACAAGTCTAAGCTCAGGTAGTTCTGTTCTAGTTCAGAAGATAGACAAGAAGCAAATGAGCAAATGGCAGTGAAGAGAAATGTAGGATTCCTCGTATATTTTGGAGAGAGAACAAACAAGACTTGCTGTTAGATTGGATATGGTGCGGGGGGAGAGAGAGTCAAGGATGATCCCAAGGTTTTGAGTCCAGTGGAGGAACTGAGGGGCAAGGGAAGTAATGCATAAGTAAAGGCAGGAATTAAAACATTGGCACTTGGAATCTAGCTGGTAAGGAGGGAGGTGGGGCTGTGATGTGGGAGACGTTGAGGCAAGAGGTGGGGCTGTCCATTGGTATAACCTTCTTAGAGGGCAGTTGGGGAGTGTGTATCTGCTTTTATTTTTATTTTATTTTATTTTTTTTTAAAGATTTTATTTATTTATTTGACAGAGATCACAAGTAGGCAGAGAGGCAGGCAGAGAGAGAGGAGGAAGCAGGTTCCCTGCTGAGCAGAGAGCCTGAAGAGGGGCTTGATCCCAGGACCCTGGGATCATGACCTGAGCCAAAGGCAGAGGCTTTAACCCACTGAGCCACCCATGCGCCCCCCGCCCTGTGTATCCACTTTTAAAATGCACATACCCATTGTCCGAATCTAGAAATTTATCTTCTAGATATTATCCTGTGTGTGTGCAAAATGGATAGTGAGAATGTTAGCGTAGAATTTTCCGTTGTGAGGAGGCACTTCCATGTGCCTAGGCATAGTTCCATGAGGCCAGGTCTCCCTTGGTGCGGTCCTGCCCTTAGCAAGAGTTGGGGAGGCCCCCGTGCCCCAGGTGTTCCTGGCAGTGGCCGCACCTCTCCCGGCCTCAGCTCTGGAAACGAGGGAGCTGCTGTCCGAACTGGTCCCCTCTTTCCCTTAGTGGAGTTCAGCCCACACTGGATGTCAGTATATATTTTTAAAAGTCTGAGCTGAACATACAGCTAAAAATTCTGTTCTTTTTTATTTTAATAGGTTATGGACATTTTTCAGTTCTCTACATCGTCTTTTTACTTACAATAATTCTTCAGGAGGAAGGTTATACTTGCTGGGTGTTACTGTTTTTAAAGGGCTTGCTAATGTAGAATGTGTGATGAAATGGTGTCACAAATTTGCGTTAGAATTCATTTCTCTTATTACTATAGGTAACGAACCATACCTTTTAGAAACATTTTTCATGAGTGCTTGGGTGGCTCCGTGGATTAAGTGCCTGCCTTCTGCTCAGGTCATGATTCCAGGGTCCTAGGATCGAGCCCCAAGGTGGGCTCCCTGCTCTGTGGAGAGGCTGCTTCTCCCTCCCCCTCCTCCTGCTCATGCTCTCTCTCTCTTATTTTTTCTCTCTACCTCTCAAGTAAAATTTTAAGAAAGGAAGGAAGGGAGGAAGGAAGGAAGGGAGGGAGAAAAATTAGTGACCCTGGGTGAGAGACCTAATTCTCAAAGCTTTGGGTTATTCTAGGTTTCACTATAACAATAAGTAGCCAGCAAAATACATTGGAACTTTCTTTCTCTTAGTGGTTTTATTCTAGGATATGGTTAGTTCCAAATGGTCTGCATTCATTTGATAGCTCAGATGGGTGCAAATATTTACAGACTGTAAGAGCAGAATTCCCAAGGGGTTCTAACAGTGTTGGTGGCCTCCGGGGCAGAGGTTGTGTGGCCAGGAGCCGCTGAGTCTCCCCGGGGGAGGTGTGGAGGGTCGAGGGGCAGCATGATGGGCACAGCGAGCCTCCTTGAGCCATCAGAGCATAGCACTGCCTGGACTTGGAGCCACAGGTGTCTGTGCTTGGAGCGCTTGGGCTCACACAGGGTGGGCTTGGCATTTGTGAGGACGTTTATGAGCACTAGATGCTTTTCTTCTGTTCTTGTAGACTTAAGGAGAGAGAGGTCTCTCAGAGACAAACTGATTCTTAGGTGTTTGGCAACTGCAGGGTGCCTGCATGGAAAGAACAAGAAGTCTTGTTAGAAACGCGGGGTACATGTCTTATAAAGGTAAATTTTATTAGGTGTTATGAGTCAGGTCAAGTGAGAAGCTTCCAGAATCAGGTGCGGTTTGAAGCTTTGGAGGTAGGTGCAGAAGGTGAGGCTCTGGAACCCAGGAAACAGCTATCCCAGATGCCAGCAGGTGGAGCCCTCCTGGGCAGGAGCTCCGAGTGGCTGTGCAGCAGCTCAAGCCCCAGGGGAAGGCTCCCCGTCTCTCCCTCAGGGATGCTGAGCCTCCCTTGTTCAGGGTGGAGAGGAGCGAGTATTGGGAATAGGCCAGCAGCCGCCATGGGACACCGCACCTGGTTTGGTATCTCTTGGGTGAATGAAGAATTCCAGGAGGAGGCTACGAGGAGATTCCAGTTGGTAACAGAGAACACTTTGGACTCAGGAGAAGGGGACGCAGCCTTGCGACAAGGACCTGGGATTCCCTGCATTCGCAGAGGAGCTCCTGTGCCCACCAGGGCTGCCTCCAGTGGACTGGCCCTTGAAGCATTTGATTTTCTTAGAGTGACTCATAGGACCTGGCTTACCCTCAGCCCATTTTGACCTACAAAAATGGCCCTTTTCGACTGCATAGCGGGTCTCGGGTACAGCTTACAGGCAAGGTCTGAGCTTCGTTTGTTTGGCCTCTTGTTCTTCACGTTGCGGTTGCTGTAACTGCTGCTGCTGAGAGG